GCCTGCCGGGGAAGGGCGCCGGGCCACCCCCCGGCCGGCTCTCAGGGGGCCCCGCTGTCCAGCCGGCACTGCCCCGAGGCCTGCCCTGGTGGGTGGGAGAGCCGGGACAGCCGCCGGGCTTGCAGGGAGAGGTGAAAAGGATGCCACAGTAAAGCAGAGAGACCCCAGCCTCCCCCGCGGAGCTCCCGGGGCAGCAGGACCCTCAGGACCCCCGCCGGTGGGTGCATGCGGGAGGGTCATGTCCCTCGGCTGGAAGGAAACAAGGCAGTGAAATGAGGCTGCCTGCACTGCAGGCCCCATTAGGGACATCACCGCCACCACAGCGAGCTGCAGAACAAGGACGGCTGCCTCGGGGAGCCGGGAAACGGGGAGGAGGGAGCCCAGCTCGGGCTGGGGGCCGGAGCGAGGGGCGCAGGTTTGCAGGGATGGGTGCGGAGGGGAGCCCAGGGCAGCACTGGGCTGCGGGCAGGGCTGGTCCCGCTCTCTGCCCCTCTCAGGCAAGCAGCCCTTAATGTCCTTAACATCCTCCAGCTTGCTGTCCTGCCTTCCCCAGACCCACGCACATGGCTGATCCTGCCCGCCCCGCTGCCTGCGCCCGCAGGTAGCTGAAGGTAGCGTTTCCAAGCCCTGTCTGGCATTAAAAGGAGGGTCAGAAATAGCTGCCCAAATGCTGCGATGTGGCAAGAGCCACAGCAACATGTGTCCCCCAGGCGTCTTGCCTGGGCAGGAGATTTCTCCTCCCGTACCCCGGGACCGGGATGCAGCCGTCCTGGTTGGGGGCAGCGGGGTCCCACCTCGGACCCAGGGTTCGAGCCTCAATGAATCAATTCCTCCACGTGCTGTGCTTTAATCCCAGGGGCTCGAGAAGCCTCGTGTAGGCCTGTGAAGCTCCCGGTTTAGGTCTGTGCTGCTCTCAGGGTGAACAGGAGCTCAGGGTGCTCCCGTGGGTGGTCCCATGGGTGCCAGACAAGCAGCCTGCAGCAGAGCCACACAGCTGCACCTGCTCCAGACTTGCCACCAGGCTGGTGGCCCCGGGCACCTCTCAAGGCACGGCCCCCTCGGGAGACCCCGAACTGGGAGGGCTCTGGGATGGCGCCCCTCAGCCTCTCTTTTGCTTGGTGTTTTAGTGGGAAGCTGGTGTCTCCAAAGTGGAAGAATTTCAAGGGGCTGCGGCTGCTTTGCCGGGATAAAATCCGTCTCAACAACGCTATCTGGAGAGCGTGGTACATCCAGTGTGAGTATGGGGCCAGACCCCGCTCCGTCTGCCGAGTGCTGGGCAATGTCGAGTGCGATGGGGCTGGCACCAAGGCAGCGATGTATGGGTGCACAGGCACCCTCCCCTGCCCAGGGATGGAGATGTGGGTAAAGCCAGCTGTGTTTTCCCCTGTGCAGATGTGGGGCGGAGGAAGAACCCTGTGTGTGGCTTCATCACTCCTCTGGAGGGATCGGAGGCTGATGAGCACCGAAAACCAGAGGTAGGGCATGGTTCGTCGCAGCTTTCTGGGCCAGGAGCAGGTCTGGGTGGCACAGGTGGGAGCTGGGGACACGCAGGGGGCAGAGCTCATTTTATTTCATAGATTTGCTGGGAAAGGTGTTTCTGACGTGGCACAAGGAAACAAGCCCTGGCTGCGGGGTGATGGGGCTGGGTGGCTCAGCTGTGACCCCCTGTCCTGCCCCCCCAGGCTGTCGTGCTGGAGGGCAACTACTGGAAACGCCGCATCGAGGTGGTGATGAGGGAGTACCACAAGTGGAGGATCTACTACAAGAAGCGGGTGAGTGGCTCTGCCTGTGCTGCTCCCCATCCCATGGCGGTGCCAGCGGTGGGATGGGACGTCAGCGTGCGCAATGTGGAGCCGTGGCTGACGGGGAGCGGGACATGGCAGGCTCTTTCCAGTGTGGGAGGGGGATGCTGGCTGCCCCTGTGGTGCCAATGGAGGGGAGCTTGGCAGGGACCCTATCCGCAGCTGCCCGCGGTGCTGCGATGTGCTCCGGCAGCCCAACCTGGGCTGACTGTGACCTGCCCGGTGCACGATCTGCAGCTGGG